AAATAATCGTGATTATCATTTTTGCCATAATCGAGCAGCCCTACATCTCATGTAACAAACTCTGAGCTTCTTCATGAAGTCTGAAGCTGCTTTCAGTCTGAAACATGTTTCCAAGCAGTTCTTGAATCTGCAGTTTGGTTTAGGTGAACGATAATCACACATCAGTCCGGATCCTTCAGCTTCTTAAACTTTATCATTCTCCAGTCATCACTGATTTTCATTCAAGCTCTTAAAATCTGATCATAAACCAGTTTCAGACGAAGACGCTGAACATGCTGTCGATCCAGTCCTGACCCAGCGTGATGGAGTAGTCATGGAGAAAGCCCACTCAGCTCATCCCACAAACACGGATCAGGGTTCGTTCCTTCAGTCCAACTCTTCAGGTATTGTTCAGAACTTAAAATCCAACCTGCTCATTAAAAAGCTCCTGATGCACCCTGGGAAAGTCCACACGAAATCTGTGAAGTATCCTGGTGTTACCATGGCAACCCAGCCTTCACATTATACTGGTGTGATTATCTTCACTAACTACACAACAGTACAAGACTAGTTAGAAAAACATCAATCCTGAGTCCTCCCCTGCTGCCTTCTCATGAGCACCCCCTGCAGGCCAACCCCAAAAAGTACGAGTGAAAACTTCATTTGGGCTCCTTTCAAAACTGCTCTGTGAGGACCATCAATGCCTGTTTGACACCAGCATTACTTCTTTCTCCTGTGCTGCTACACATAAAAATCTACTCTCATACACTCACTCTGATTCAGCAGTAGTTGACAGTAATCCAGTCGTACACAGCAAACACTTAATATTTCCTGACTTTCAGTTTCCTTTAATAAACTTTGAAAACTACGTCTTCTCACCTGGGTGACTTTTCATGTGGCGCCACAAATGGCTGCTGTACGTGAACACTTTCCCACATATTTTACAGTGGTACGGCTTCTCACCTGTATGAGTTCTTATGTGTGCCAACAAAATGCTACTGTACGTGAACATTTTCCCGCAGGTCTTACAGGGATACGGCCTCTCGCCTGTGTGGATTCTCATGTGGACGGTCAAAGCGCTCCTCTGAGTGAAGCTTTTTCCACACGTTTTGCAAGAATGAGGCTTCTCGCCTGTGTGCGTCCTGTAGTGGTCCTTCATTCGGGACCTTCTCTTAAAGGCTTTGCCACAAACATCACATGTTTCGAGCTTTTTCACTGTGTCAGTGTTGCACTGGATCTCTGACATGTGGGGGTCGACACCGTTACTGTGACTTTTGTTCCTAGAATGTCTCGTTGGTGCTAACACTTTTTTTCTAGTTGAATCAACGTTCCTGCTTTCTCCATGATCTACAGCAGAGCTGTGACAGAGGAGCTGCTCCATGTTTGGTCTGTGCTCTCCTTCCTCAGCAGCAGTCACCATGAAGGTATCCGTCTCCTCCTTCAGTCCCAGCTGCTCTCCCTCCTGACTGCTGCACAGTTCCTCCTGTTCCTCTTTAATCTGTGGAGCTTCTGGTTCCTCCACACTGGAGCTCCTCTCCTGGTTCCAGAGCTGCTGCTCAGGGAGAACCTCCTCCTCCTCCTCCTCACAGACCTGCTGCTGTGGGACGTCTGGAGAGACAGAAGAAAGAAGTCACAACCACAGAAACGTTAACAGGACTTTACAGCACGACTGCGTCGCTCGTGTGTGAGAGTAAAGCCGTCCAATCAGCTGTAAGTCACTGATCTCAGATCTGCATTTATTCAGA